ATTTTTGGCTATTATAGTGTCATGATGGCACTCTATTCATTTTTATTTAGTAAGTTGGCTTTTTTGAATTAAACCATTGTGCTTTTATAATTTGCTTACTTGTTTTAAAAATTCTTAAGACCCAGATAAAATTACTCTGGAGGATCTTTTAGAAAAGTTCAAAAGGAAGAAGAAGGAAAATGATGAAACCAACAATACAGAGATTCCCACTCCGGGTCAAGTAGAAGTTTTCCCTACAATTTCAAGAGCAACTTCTTCTTCGAATCTAACAAGAGTCTCATTAGAAAATATACAGGTATCTATAATCAATTAATTGCTTATAGTAACAATTGGTCAGCTTCAAAACACTAAAACAAAAAATTTTTATATCGTTCAAAAGTTTACCGATAAGTCTTATTGTTCACGATTCAAGTCTCAAAACCTATCGTCTAGTTTTTAAACTAAAAATTGGCATTTTGAAAATTCCAAATTTTGTTATATGCTTTAGAAATAAATTTCGTGTAATTTTTTTCCATAGAATATTTTATAGAACATATATTGATTTATTTGAATTATTTATTATTAATAATAAAAATTTCTTTACCATATATTACAATAAAAAAATTTTAACGAACATATTACATCAAAAAGAAAATCATTTTTAAAGCTAGTTTGAATGGCGGTGGTTTTTTAAAAATCCAACACGTAGATCACATGATATTTCAAAATTTTTAACTTTTGAGTATATTGTAGATGATCCGCACTGTGGGAATGAATCAAGAAGGGACGGATGAATTCATCGCAACAATAACTATGACAAGTCAAAATAGATGAATCACCAATAATATCCTTTTATTTTTAATTAATGATAGATAAATTTAGTAGTAATAGATCTGTTTTTATTGAATTTCCGACTTTTCCGAATTTAATATTGGTGTTTATTAGTATTAGTATTAGATTGCCACCATTGGCCGTTTAACCGTTTTGACCAATTTAAACGGGTTTGTCAAGATACCATTATATTAACATACAAAATTATAAAATTCCAGTTCAATCTGCGGCTAAACTGACAATCATGAATCTATCCTATTCATGCAACCATACCTATAGATGAGAATATCTTTTCAGAAGATCAAGTATATACGTTGCTCTAACCAGAGCAAATTTTTTAGATAGGCTTCAGATCTTAAAATTAAATTATTCTTAAACGTTCCAAAAATGTTGCAGTGCATTAAAGATGGTATAATCCAGTTTTCTGAAATTTAAAAGGAAAAACTCCAGATAGAGGATATTATAATTTTAAGATTGAAATAAAATAGATAACTCGATATTAAGCAGAATTAAAGTTTTCAATATGCATTATATCATAATAGTAAAAATTCCGTGAATCTTTATACCAGTAGTATTTATAATAAACCTTATTTAATTTATACAGTTATGTAAATAGTTTGAGACTTCAACGTAAAGCTAAAAGTCATTTTTTTAAAAAATAAGCAATTGTGAATGATTTAGTCACAATATTAATATAATTGCGGCATTTTATCAATAGCCCACATAATAGATATTGGGTTTTTGGTGTCAAATTGAAGAGAAGATTATTTTTTTTTAATATTTTATTGGCCTTCAAAGTAATCTATTTACCATCAAGAGTTTTTATTTACGTCAAGGTTCTTACGTCATTTTTGACTTAATGGTAGTGATATGAAGTATTGATGTTAGCCGATAGAAAACCTTAGCCGGCTAAGAACTTAATAAATCCCAGTTGATAAAAAACCTTTTCAGATGATACTAAGCTTGCCGGTATTATTATTACTATTATTAATATAATATCTGCCTTTAATGGTTCAAATTATTTGTTTTCGTTATGAATTTGAGTATTCGAATTACATTGAAAGTTTTATTCGAATAAACTAATAAAAAGAATAAGCGAATAATTCGAATAGAACGAATTAAAATAAGAATTTGTATTACAAATAGAAACTCTATGGCTTTTATCATTCAAAGTAAATGCAGGTGGATCCATCTCAACTAAATGTCTATGCCACTGAATTCTGCACTAAAATTCCAGACGTAAAAATGAATGTTAAGAGAAATTTTTTTAGCCAGCTAAGTCGTTTAAAAATTCTTTAGCCGGCTAAGCCGACAAATTTCTTAGCCGGCCAACATCATTAATATGAAGTAATAGATTACAACCCTACAACCCTGATGACATTTTGTCAAAGAACATTAGCTTGGTAAAATTGAAAGTTTACAAAAAGTTTTTATAGGACGACAAAGGTAATATTATCGAATATCCTTATTGAGATGCTTTGCAAATATTTTGAAATAATGTTACTATTAATTTTACAGCGTGTTAAGAAAAACGGCGTTTTTATGTAATAAAAATATACCAAAGAACTTAGATAATGTAAAGTTTTTGAAGTATATTGTTATATAGGCTTTAGAGCATTTATTAAAGAAATTCAAAATAATCAAATTTCTTTATTTTCAATTGACAAAGTTCCAGAAAATCTGGAAGATTATAGGGATATTCAGTATGGTATGGTATGGTATAAGTGTAATAAAATGTTTGCATACCAATGCTTAAATCTAATATGCTTCCCTTCACCCCCAAAAAAGGATTTAGAATAAAGCTTGGTATGGAAAAATATGGACCATCTTTGAGTTATACCATTCTCTACCGAATCTGGAAATATGAATTATATATATATACAACCGATATAATTTTTTGTACGATTATTATTATTTATTATGTATATTTTTGATTATTAAAAAAATCCATGTTGACAAAAATTTAGCAAAGTTGCAAAATTGTTAAAAATAGTATTTCATTTCTATTTTTTATGATGTTGTGTAATTGCTGATATATGCACCATAACTAATACAAGAAAATTTAATTCGTGATATATTCCATTTATATTGTTAGATAAATAAATTTTATATATAGATTTTTTATTTGGAAAGCGTGACAACTTAATAAATATTCTTTAATATTGCTTATAAAGCAAATTAATCGTTTAATTCTTGGTAACACTGATTATACCTGTCTTTTTAGACTTCCGGTTGTTAATTTGGAGAGAAATATAAATTCATCCTTTCTTTTCATTATAAATACAATTCTACTACTATTCTCATTTTTATTAAAATCAATCGACGAACAAAAAAAATGCGTGACTTAATCAACAAGCCAAAACTCGAAAAATCATGGGTTTTTCGTCTTCGACGGTGTTTTGTAGTTGCATCATTTTCATTGCTAGTTTTTTTCGTTGTGTTGTTGTTTCTAAAGCTAACTCAAGAACAGCCTGCTATGATTAGCACCCTTTCAACAATTACGAGCTTACCTGTTCCAGGTAAAGTAATTTTTTTGAGTTAAACACCCCAAAATCAAATGACATGTTCTCTAATATCAAAACCACGAAATCAATACAGATATTTATTTGGCCTATAACGGAACATTTACAATCACTTGTACTAAAGGTTCCAGCAGTATTGGTAAGAAGTGTTTAAGAAGTGTTTCAATTGCTTTAATGATTGATTGTTTTATTTCAACATATCTATCTGACTCAAAATGTTTCAAAAGAAGGCGATTGTAATGACTATCTTACACAACCAACTCGTGGCGATAATCCTAATCTTCAATATGCTGGGAAGTTTTTACCAAGAAACCAAATAAGTTTGTTTCCTAAGGGTATTGGAAGTAATTTTATTATACTTAGGATAAACGTTGATAAACCAACCTCTCCAGGAAATTTCGTGTCAATGCATGCATTTGATACAGGCAAGTTTTTTCATAAAATTGGGGTCTTGATTATAATAATAATATGGTGATAAATAAATAGATTATGATCCGTGGATTGAAGGTTCAGTTGCTCATACCAACAATGAAAACGAGGAACTATTTACCGAGTCGCTCGGCTATGCAAATCGATATTATTTATCAGGAGGTCTTGTACGTGTGTTTGAGAACATCATTTAGAACAGAAATAAATAAATAAATAAATAAATGTAAATTTGCAATATTAATAAATCATTATTATAAACAATAGGATTATCATTTAACGTATTCTAGAAAAGTTAGGAAAACAATAGCTAATACGAATTTAAATTTTATTGGCCTTAGTATTGGTCTTGAAACAGATTACAACACACAAAATTACATTGAATCAAAAATGCGTAAGTTTTTCTTATTTTTTTTATTTTATTTTATCATCATATGTATTTATTTAACCTTTTGTTACCATAGAAATTTTTCCGAAAGATGACCTCAACTCACCTTTTATAAAATTGGAGATCTCCCCACAAAACTTTATTTCAGAAGAATTTAAAGAGCAAAGGTAAAAACTACCTATTTTATTATGTTCCTTGTCAACAAATTCTCATGTACAACTTACAAATAACATATTAATATAATAGGAGTAATACGGTACAGTACGTCTTAATACCGATGCTTTAATATTACAAATAGTGATTATTTATCATTTGGGTATATATAGGTTATATCCATACTAGGAACTATTTTTGGCTATTATGGTATCATGTTGACTCTTTATTTATTTGCATTTAGTAAGTTGTCTTTTTTAAGTAAACTATTTTGTATTTGTAATTTGCTCACTTATTTTAAAAAATTCTTAGGATCAGATAAAATTACTCCAGAAGGTTTAGTAGAGTTCAAATGCCGGGGGTTCAAAAAGAAAATCAACGATACTTCCACCGTGACTTCAATAGCAGCTTCCTCTTCGAGTCTAACAATAGTTTCCGTTGCGGGTTCATCATCTGACACAATAGAAAATAAGAATGATTAACTAAAGAAGAAGGGCAGATGGATTCACCGCAAGTAATATCTATGACAAGTCAAATAGATTGATAAATTGTAGATTATTTATAGATAAAACTTTGTATATATATATTTGTATCAGTGGAGGTGTAATTTTTAAATAAATTATAAAAAACTGAAAAATCATGTTATCAATCTTATTGTCTGATGTTTGTCTTTGTTTCTTTAAACTTGCATTCGTTCGAAGTAAATATTTGTAGGAAAACTTTTATTGTTTGCTTTTAGATTTTCTTGGCTTCCTAAAAAAACCAGTGTAACAAAAGGCAAGTCTAAAAGTGTGTAAATTATCAAACAGATTGCTATTCAATATACGATTTTGGTTTTTCAATTGTTCTTTATTTGGAACAGGCAGAGCTTCTTTTTTTTTTTGCAATTACTTTCTTAGTCGTTTGATTTATATGTGGAGATTTTCAGGAATTGTTCGTTATACGGTAATAAAGAATTTAATTAGGAAATAGTTTGACATATATAGAGCGTTGACCGTTATATTGAAAGTCATTATAGAGAAGAGAACTATATGTTAGAATAAATGTAATCTTTGAATATAATTTATTGGATAAAAAAAATTTTTTTTATAATTGCTTTGCATCTTAACTGATCTTATTGCCCCTAGTGCTGTGTAAATAACCAAGATGAGGTAATTGGTACATTCCACAATGCTTGCTGTATAATTTTTGCCTTGCAATAGATGGAAAATATAATCTATCTGCGTTTTGTTTACACAATGCTATAAAAAAACTACAAAGTGAACATGAGAAGATAGTAAGTTTTTTTGAAAGTAGGTTATAGTTGTGTTGTTCATCAATGGTTCCAAAGAGAACTTGTTGAATTATATGAATCTTTCAAGCAAAACAGAACAAGGCATATTTTTGATGGCACAATGGATAGTATGGCAATAAGTAAGAGTGGATGATTTGAAAAAGAGAAAATGTTCCAATAAAAAAGTATCTTCTTAATGTGCCTCTTTCCCAGTAAACTTATCTCAATATGTTGGGACTTAACATCAGCTGAATTTATTTTGAAAATATAAGAAATCATTTAATAAACAATGGTTTTTATATCAAGAGTCCATGGTAATTAATATCAAAGGAACACCTCAATCGAAGGTAATTGATAACAATTTTATCATAGTTGTAAAGAATTTTCTTGGAATCCTTGGATTGTCATCGCCATCATTATCTTATTCTTGATATTCAAATTGTAGTGGTGTATAATTACAAATGATGAAAACTTTTGAAAAAAAAAGCTTATAACAATAACACAGATGGAACAACAATTAATATAATTGAATAAATGACACTTGTTTCTTGAACTCTTATGGAAAATTTAAATTGGTAATTTTAAAAAATCTTGGTTAAAATTTGTCTAATACAGTGTTTGTAAATTATAAGCCAAAATTTTACATAAATCTGATATGAACAAGATATATCTGCCCCAAATTGATGTACAATAACGTTTCATCGTCACCATTATGTCTTGCCCATTTCCTGCTTCTTCTACTACTACTTAACAAACTCCATATAAAGTTAATCATTCAATAATGCCTTTATTATCTACTGTGAAATAGTAACGGGACCCTTTCTTCTACTAGAACTACTCTACAACTTAATATATTTTTGTTTTTAGAGAAGTCAGTCATCAAATATGATACCTTTATAATGTCAAAAAGTATTTAAGCATCTTGAATTCACTAGGGTTAAAAATATGGCTTTTTAAAAAAAAAAAGAGATTTTCAGGTAGATGACTTTCAAACATATAAAATTTGCAATAATTAACTTAAAATTATCTCTTATTAGATAGTTAAAGACAAGTCACTGTTAATTGTATCGTATCCTTTTCTGATAATTAACATTTGCTATGATGTAT